TAGTTAAGCACAAAGCTACACATTGGACTACCTGTGCTCTGCCAGCCACGGGTTTCAAAACCCTTTTTCTATCGTTGTTAGTCCGCAGACATTCCACTATGAATGACTAGAGGAAAAAAACAAACAAACAAAAGTACAAATAGTTTAGCATAAAAACCTGTATAAACAACCATGAGTGTAGGTAATAAGACTTTGAGTTAATACAATTACACACAGTTACCAATAAAATTATATTATATTATTATTCAAATTTATCATGTAAGCAGTAGCCGTTCTTAGTAAACTGGATACGTGTATTTTACATTAAATACAATTTAATACACACCAGATTCGATGGGGTTTTGTTTTATAATACACATTTGCAATAGCTTCTTTTCAAGCTTAGCTAAAATTATTTTTCTTATTATTGTCATAATATCGTTACTTTAAAGCTGTTATTTCAATTAGCACTGCATAAAATTAAAAATTATTAACAAGTAATATCTGCAAGATGACTGGTCTTTATTTAGTCGCAATCAAAACGAATGCCTGTATCAGTCCAGGAGAATCTATCAGTCTGCTTGCATAAACTCAATATATTCATTTAATGTGGAATTAAGTGCAACAGGTTCGTAGTAAACAGAGTTGCCAACAAATACCAATAGACATAGCTTACCTGTGTAGAGCGCCTTTTTTTTTGTCTCTGCAGGTAGACGCAAATTGCTTCTGCATACTGTCAAGCAAAAATGGACAGTGTTGAAGCAGATTACTACAGTATTAACATAGTTCAACGAAGACTAACAAGTACTAGGCCTACTTGTTATAACTATGTCTTTAGAGTAAGTCGGCATAGCTAGCGGTTCTTAATTATTTTGCTTGATACTAATTGTGTTTACAACTAGTTGACAAACAAGGGTTATCGAATCGTGGTGTACTTTGTGTAGCCTGATTTCTTTAGTACTGTTACGTCTCTGTTCGTTTATTAATTTTCCGTAAAAATTCTTTCCGAAGAAACTTTAGCGATACAAGTCCTTTCTTAAATAAAACTAGTTTATTCTTTCTCAATACAACTTTGAAATTCACTTAATTTCCACGGTCACGCTATAACTTAAACAAACACTATTCAAGCGCTTGACTCAATTGTCCATCTCTATCTCTGTCTGCAGTTCAATTACATTGTTGCTGTCACTTCTTGGCGGTCTTATATACAACAATACCGTACATCTAGTAAACACTCGAGGCTTCAGGAAGAGACATGAACTTTATAGACGCTCATGACGTGTTACTAGCGTCACATGACTTTCGTTGTCGTAACAGTACTAATAGTAATACAGTAGTTGTTTTATGAAACTGTTACTAAAATTTCAATGACAGAGTATACTTATTCAATAAGTCTTTAATTTATATTCAAGAAATTATGATTTAAAAAGTCAATGCATTCTTCTTTTTGGATCATGTTGACGGTTTAAGGGATCTGGAAGGTAGATTTGAGTCATTCAGACATTACTATTAGTATTAACCCTACCCCATGATTTTTTTGGATATGTCATTGGTTTATTCTCGAACCAGACATCAGTAAGGCACGTGGTTAGAGCAAGTGCGAGTAAGAAGGGCGTATGTGACGTACGTCATGAGTGCGGCTTCGTGAAATGGCGGTGGTTTCCTACGCTCTTTTCGGAATTGCAATATTTTTCTTTGGAGGTTGGTGTTTTGTATGGTTAATGCACCTCATAGCTATATTCAATGCGTAAGTATCTATCACTATTCTTAAATATATTTTTCTCACTTAAAAGTATTTACTTATTTATCTACTTTATATAAGTACCGGTATATAAATTGTTCCATTCTGATCCCACATTCAACTTCAAGGCAGTAGTAGTAGAAATTAGTAGTAGTACCGGTTTAGAAGTTTATCTATGCTATTATATTATGCTTCAGGCAGTTGGTTACCAGTGCGGATTATACTCCTGTTACAAACTAGTGTTAGGCCTATTCTACAGTAATATTGATACTAGTTTTATGTGAACCTTAGGTAATCTATCTACTACATAAATTTAACTTAAAAGAGTTCTCAAGTTGTAAATTTCGCAGTAAAAATCTAAAATGTTATAGTTAAGAACAAGTAACAAGTTACTTATTTAATAGCAATAAGAAACATTCATTTTGATAATATGAACTAGTCCATCATTTCAGTTTTTACTAATTTATGTTATAATATAATTCGTTTTATTGGCTGAATTACTTGATCACCTTTTAAGTTTAACTTATACTGAGTTTTTGTTTTTTTTTACTTTTTGAACTAAACTAGTATTAGTAGAACTACGAGTGAAATTCCATTTGATTAAGTAAGTTGAAGTGGACACTCATTACTTCTGAATGAGAAAATTTGAATAATGGCTATTTCCTGTTGATTTCAATGGATTACCAGGTAGTAGGTCCATACATTCTATACTTAGAATTGAATCAAATGTACAAATGATGAATAAAAGGAAGAGTACTATCTAAACTCAGAACAGTATGTTTGCTTACATTGTATAATATATTCATTATAGTACATCTGGATGCATATTTTCAATAAGAAAATAACTAGGACTTATGTTTACAATTTTAAGGGAGCATAGTGAAGATGAATGTATTAAGTCGTGAGTTATAAACTGATGAGTTGTCAGTAGATAGTTCAATGGCATAGGTAGTACATGTAATTATAAATTTTAAAAGCTGAAACAGTTGTTTTTTCAAAGATAAAATGATTGTCTATAATTTCTCTTGTCTCTTGATGTAATAGCAGAGAGATAATTGGATTTTTTTTGTATTTGGGGTTTCACTCTTTGCATTTGATAAAAGAATTGATGACAGAAGAATTAATTAAGATTTTGAATAAATGATTAATTATTTTGTCTTCAGGATAACCACTGTGCAAGCTATAGCACAGGTATCTTGGACTATGAGTTTGAAGAATAACTTATTAATAAGTTGTAAAAGATATGTTAGAGGGCTAATTTACTCACCGTATCTTTGCAAGCGACAAAAAATGAAACTGTCCATTTAGAGCCAAATGATCTTTTAAAGAAACATTTAAAAAAAAGTGATATTGATTTGCACATTTTTGTTTGTTTGTTTTTCCTTTGATAAATCTTTCATGAATTTTATGTGGACATATTAAAAAAGTATTAAGATTATATAAATCTAAGCAAAACTTTTTTTAGGAGTAGAATAGTTATCAAATAAATTAGAATTCTGGATTTTCAAACCTAACCTCAAGTTTATACATTATGCTATAACCAAGTTTCCTTTTAGGTTTGTTAGTTGTTTATTCATTTTTTAATAACATACCACAAAAGCACACTGATCATGTATTAACACTGTGTATAGCTTGATCTTCTAGTTTTCACAGGAGTGTGAAAATTTATTTTTGATTTGTTTATTTTTGACTTTAATCAAAAAATGTTGATGTGAATGCAAATTTCAGTAAAGTTGAACTTTCTGTGTAGGTTTAGCACTCTTTATTAATAGTTAAATAACAAAATAAATATATCATTGTATTTTAAGGAAAAGTAAGTTCCTTTTTTTGTGTCACAAGAATGTTAAAATTAACATTGGCATATGACTTTTCAATAATACATGTTATATTATGATTATTGTGATATTTGTATAAGAAGGCACACAGAAAACATTTTAAAAGATTCCCAGTTTGCCTGAATTCTTTCAAATGTAACCAGAAAAAAAAGCAGAGAAAATAATTTTATTGATGCAAATTAAGGTCTTGTGATAATAAATTATATACGTAAAGACAACTTTAGAGCTTTTTATCCATCTTGGCTGTCCAATCCTAGAAAATATTCAGAACTAATCCTTATGATTCAAATATTTATCAAGCCTTCCCTTAAACTCCCATTAATTTACTGCTTTCAACACATTTGAAGGCAACCCATTCCAAAAGCCAAGTACCCTATTAGAAAAATAAAACTGTCTTAGCTGAAGATGACTGCTACCTTACCAAATTTATATTACTTGTCATCATATGACAACCTTTTCATCTCGGGTATCATCCTATTAGCCCTTATCTGAGCCCTTTCCAACAATTTAATGTCTTTCCTAAGGTATGGAGCCCAAGACTGAACACAATACTCCAAATATGGTTTAACTAATGACCTATACAATGAAATTATAACATTTTTAGATTTATATTAAATATTACTGTAGATATAACCTAAAATCCTATTTGCCATACCACTAACAACAGCACACTAATTGGATGACTTTCTTCCATAACACTGTTAAGTTTATTCCCATCAATATTATACTTATAAATTGAGTGATAACCTACATGCAATACCTTGCATTTATCATAATTAAAAGGCATTTTCCATTTATTTGCCCAAATCACCAAATGACTCGCATCCTTTGAAAAAGCAGCAGAAACACCCAAAACCTTAATATTATCAGCAAATTTAAATAATTTATTGATCATCTGTGTCATTGGTGGAAACATAAAAAACAAAAGCAAAGGTCCTAACACTGAGGCATTCCACTTGTGACATTAATCCTGTTTGACTGAACTCCATATATAACAACCCTCTGCTTTCTTCTAGCCAGCCACTTTTCTGTCAAATGAGCCAACTTTCCCCTATACTGATATGCTTTCTGTATATCCAGAGACACCAAATTCATATCTGTACTATGTAAGCAGTAACCTCTTCAAAGAATGTCAGAAGATTAATATGAATTCATACTGACTATCCAAAAAAATTTTTAATTTTATCAAATGAGTTTGCAAAGCATATTTTATCTATCAGACTTTTGAAAACATTTCTTATCAACTATGTATGACTAACAGATCTATGATTAGTGGGACAATTTTTATCATGTTCCTTGAAAAAAGGAGTAACGTTAGCCAACTTCCAGTCCTCTGGAACCTACCTACAAAGAACCTTTTGGTCCTTCAAGGCTATTGTTGCACAATGACTTAAAAATAAACATTTTAAGCCCACCATTTTTTTCACAAGTTAGTTAATTTTCATCGTAAGGTGCTGATGGTAACTCATTCTGTTAGCTTATCCTGTTAGAAATATATAACTAGATCTTTTACCAGATCTTATACTTTTGTGCCTTTGTTCTGTTCTCTTCAGAATAGCTGCATAAAGACATTAGAGTCTTTATTCCATTAAACACCTGAATAATTTTGTGAACTACAATAAGTTCTTTTCTTTAGGGAAGAAAATATATTTTTTAATAGTTCAGTTTAATGGATTGGACAACCTTGATGAACTAACAGATCCCTTGCCTTTAAATGTTATGTACTTTGAAAAAAGGTTTTGTTGAAAATGGATGTTCTATCTTAAAACTGGCAACATATGTATACTTGTCAGAAACTAAGTGTTGTTCTATAGATTATACATTTAAATAATAATCTCTCTCTTTGAAAAGTGAACCAAATGATCATCTATGAAATCTAGAGACAAGGGTAAACTTTTTTAATATCCAGCACCACATGTTAAAATAAGCTACACAGTTTTAAAGCTGTACACTGTACGATATTATTTACTATTTAACTTTTACTTCACTGACTGTTTACATCACACAAGTTATGCTAGAGTACTGAAATGTTGCTGTAATGAAGTTCCATTGATATTTACATAAGTACATATATGTACAGTAGGGAGATTAGTGGATTAATCATTGGGCTAATTAATCAATTACATTCACATAATCAGTTACTTCCGTATGAGACTTGGGTAATTGAAATAATCAAATAGCAATAATTGATTAACCCAACTAATTTTTATTAGTTCATTATTTTTGTGAACTGTGGTACAAACCAATTAAGCTCTAAAACTTTGAATTAATCAAGAGTGATAAAGGGAAATCATAATGGCAGTATTTAAAGTAGTTGTATAGTTGAAATAAATGAAATCGGTAACAGATGAAACATGTAAAGCTTCCTTGTAGGTCTATACCTCATTCCATTGTATCTGGTGTTATTATATTTCAACACAATAAAACATGGATTAGTAACATAATAATATGTTTGAGGCTACTTTGTTTTCACAAACTACATTATAGCATCTATAAACTTTGAAATCTTAATAGCAATCATGTTATTAAACATGGTTTAATATATAATGAAATGTTAAACAAAAAACAGAAAATTCTGATGTATTTGTAGTTTAATACTGGCTATGAAAAATCCTTTTTGTAAGAGTGCTTGCTATAGTAACTCATAAATTGTATACAAAGGAAAAAATATATATAGCTTGTCTAAATTATTAGGTAATTGATTTAATACAAACATTTATATGCATGCAGCTGTGCTAAGAACAAAAATTCACACAAGTATATTCAAGTAGGATAATAATAATAATAATAAATAAAATATTACTGGTAAAGATTACAAAAGAATTGATTTTCTTTAAGTATATACACATTTACTATTTATTGTTAGACTCCCTTCTAGTAGTACAAGTAACAACACGCAGCAACTTAATGTGTCGTGTAGTACCAGTCCACATAGGCTAGAGTGTAGTTACATGCATGTGTTCCGATTACTAAAAGAACAGGAGCACATTTACCCAATATCAAGAATAAATTAGTTACAATAAATGATTTGTTTCTTAGACCTAATGCCGATCAAAAAATGCACCAGAAAAGTTTCATACTCTCATAAATTAAGTAACTTTATATAATTGTTCATAAATCTTGACTAAAATAAGTTTTTAATATACTTTATGTAAAGTTGAGGATCTTACC